AAATTCTCTTCTAAAGATTGTTTGGCTTTTTTACGGGTGGGTGACGGGGTAGAAACTATCTCTGAGTAGGGTCTATGCAAATCATCAATAGTGTATTGTTGTTTCTCATTATTGTCTGTTCCAACTGATTCTAATTGTTTATATTTATTTTTTAAAAGCGGGAAATTACTAATATTAAATTCATTAATATCAAAAGGTTGTCCTTCTTTTAATTTAGTCTGAATAGCTACTAAACGGGCTGCTAAATTTAATGATTGAGAGTGTTCTTCTTTTACTTTCTGTACTTTAGAAGCTTCTTTAAAAGAGAGGTTTTGGGTAGACATAATTTGTTTTATCGCTTTTTGTTTTATCAACTTACGGCAGGAATTAGAGAATGTAAGGTGGGCTTGTTGACAGTGATAGCACTTTACTTGGTTGGGGCATATATCATGGGCTGCGTGGATTTCAGCACATTTGTGACATCGGGGTTGACTTTTACATATCCGATTGCCATTAAAATCAGAACGGTGCCCATAATTCAAGCAGTTACGACATTTCACTAAGTTATATACATATGTGTTACGGGCAACGTCCGGGTCTCGGGCAAAGTCAGTCTTTGCCCGGGCATTGATGACGGTGCCCAACTCGCCTGGGCATCGTCGTCATTGACCGGGCATTGACGACGGTGCCCGCGCGAGTTGGGCATCGTCTTCCCTAATGTAATTGAGGCATTAATGCCCGGGCATTGACCGTCCTTGGCGGGCAGCGGCAACGATGCCCCTGCACCATTGGGCAACGTTGCCGCGGGCAACGGGCCACGGTAGGCGACCGAACTTGTCACTGCGTGAGGAGACCGAATGGACCTTGTGGCAACGAATCTAGTGAATGTTTTCTGTCTTTTAGGAGCACCTTTAATTTTACAATCTGACAACGGCCGTGAGTTCGTCAATTCCATTATAAACAATTTGAAGGATATGTGGCCCACTTTGAAAATAGAGCATGGTAAGCCTCCACAGCGCAAGGCTCTGTAGAGCGGGCTAAACGCGATGTGGAGGAAATGCTGGGAGCCTGGATGAAAGACCAGAATTCTGAAGACTCGGTTGCGGGTCTCAAGTTCGTTCAGCTAAGTAAAAACAGAGCCTTTCATCTTGGAATCAAAATGTCTCCTTATGAAGCGATGTTTGGCTGCCCTGCAAGAGTGGGACTGAAATCTACTTCCTTGCCCAACGAGTTTGTTGGATGAAGTCGAAACAGAGGAGGATCTGGAGCATTTGCTTGATGCTGAACCAGCTTCTGAAGCAGCAAATTCTGAAGCAACTCCTACTTCTGAAGCAACTCCTACTTCTGAAGCAGCTCCTACTTCTGAAACAGCTCCTACTTCTAAAAGAACTCCTACTTTTGAAACAGCTCCTACTTCTGAAACAGCTCCTACTTCTGAAACAGCTCCTACTTCTGAAACAGCTCCTACTTCTGAAACAGCTCCTACTTCTGAACCATACATCAACAACATACTTAGAAAAAGGCGTGTTGCTCTACAAAACCTTGAGGTTCAGGCCAATAAAATGAAGAAGCAATCTGACGCCAAATTCAGTCCTGTTTCCGTAGGGGAAACAGTCCTTGTGCCCATTCCCGCTGTAGATTGTTCCCGCACCGACTCCCGAAATGTTACGGCAGTGGTATTGGAGGAAAAGAACGGATTTTCTAAGTTAGGAATAACGGAAGGCGTCATCCGCTGTTTGTACACTAGGTCCCAGTTCACGCCGTGCTCATCTGACCTCGTACCATGGAGTCTGTTCCTAGCACGGAGAAAAGTTTGCGTCAAATCGTATCTTCTGCATCCGTATCCGGTGGGCAAGGGATGCAGAAATGTGACTGCCGCCAAAAATGCACAACAAAACGGTGTTCAAGTCGAACGCGAAAGGTGCTGTGCAACTCACGCTGTCACAACTCCCAATCATGCACTAACAAATACCTAGGCGAGTCATTACTTTCATCTCACTTATTTTTCATTTTGACGGTGCCCGATAACCCTTGGGCATCGTTGTTAGTGCCCGGGCATGGTTACCTTACTCTCTCGATCCCAATCTTTGCCCGACCGTTTAAAGCACTTCTCGGGCACCGTCGTCAATGTCCGGGCATTGACGACGATGCCCAGGCGAGTTGGGCACCGTCGTCAGTGACCGGGCATTGACGATGGTGCCCGAGACCCGGACGTTGCCCGTAACATATGTATGGGGTGGTAGAACATTTTGAGTAGAAAATGTAAAGAAAGTCAGGGGTTACAGAGCCCTACCACAATGCATCTAATTTGGCTGTAAGGATCAGAGCGTTATCATCATTTTTTCGATATATTCGCCCAGCACTAATGATATTTGAATATTTATCTTGTAGATACTGACCAATCGCGTTAATCGTAAGATCGGTATGGACATTATTCACTATGATTCTACGAGTAGTGTATTTTAAAAGGATAAAACAATTACGTCTTTCGTATGGGATTAGTTTTGCGTAGTTCTCAATGAGGTTATTAGCATAGTCTTTATTTAACAATTCAATATGGATCATATCTTTATTTACTCTTTGGATGTTCTTAATACCTTCGATTCCGTTTGAGTATAGCAATTCACCAATTAGAGTTAGATGCTTATTTCCTATGTTGTCTTTAGTAAGAGCACCTACGAAGGGGCCGTTAGTGGATTCATTGTATCTCAAATTATTTTTGTCTTTGATTATAAACGCTTTGCGGATATCTGTAGGTGACGATCTTACTTGGGTATGAGATGGTATCTGGTCGGTTTGAGAGGTATTGATTTGGGAAAGGTTCAACTCAGATTGGGAGTCCTTTAGAAGCACATTGGTGGGAGGTTGTGACTGTAGGTTTAATTCACTTTGATTAGGATCTAGAGTGTCCATAGGAGTAGAAGCATCTTTATGAGGGGTTCCTCCCGGGTCAACGGGCGGATCTGAGAGATCCATTAACGAGAACTGATTCGAGCAGGTTACATAATAAGCGAAAGGAAATAAAAAGATAGGAAAGCACTTTCTAGAATAACTAAACTAAGGCACAGTCATCACATCATAGTAGAAAGAAAGAAAGGAAGCAAGAAAATAAAGGGAAAAACGCCACGAGGCAACTAAAGAGGTTAGAAATCGCTAGAGCAATAAATGGTACGTGTGGTCGGAATGAAAATTCAAACGGAACTGCGCACTTTGAGGGGTTGAAAAGGGCATTTTAAAAATGATAAGGTAAAGTGCGTTATTTTTCTCGTAAAGTACCTTATATAGTGTGTTACCTCAAAAAATTTCAAAGCCGTAGGTACATTTTAAAGGGGCGAAAAAATCCGCGAAATGACTAAAAAAACGCAATTGTCCGGAATTTGAAGTTCCCGCTTGGAGACTTGTCGGTCCCAGCGGCACCACTTAGGATGATCCGATCGGGCTGAAATTCGTTGTACGTTCTTTTCACACCAAATGACAGCTTTTTGGAGGGTCGGACATTTGATTTTCGAAAAGTCGAAAAATAAGAACCACTCTATATGCATTGACCTTGATGGATAACCGCTGCGTTTTTATCACACCGATATGAGACGCGTTGTTGAAGTTAATAATTGAAGGCAGCGAAATGACGTTAGTACGCCATTTCTAGTTCTCCGCTTCACGCTAACATAAGTTTTTTAGTGAACAAAGGACACCATCATGTCAGCGAAATTGGTCAGCGACTCAGCGAGCCTCAGACCCTCCGCTCCGCTCGGTCAAGGCATCGGATAACTGCAACGAACGTTAAAAACAGTTTCGCTGAGCTCAGCGACGCATCGGATAACTCAGGGATTGCAATTTGGACTTTAACAACGCGTCTATCGTAGCGACCATAGAGCGCGCCCGGTAGATAGCGCGATGGAAACAGCGCTAGATACGCACCCCTCACTCCGAGGGTGGTGAATAACTGCCGTATCTATTGAAATTTGAGGTTCTCTAGATGACTGTAGGCTGGAGTAAAAGCCACTAAAATAGCAAGAAGAATTTAGGTAATCGTTTTGGATGTGGAATTGCGTGTTTCTGCTGTTTTAATTCAAGATAAAAGAAGAGAAATCTTTTTATGTGTACGAGTAATAATTTCATTACGAATATACCCGCAAAACGGATACATATTACATCATCATAAAAAAATTAGAAAAATTGAACTAAAACATTTCAAAAGTAAAATGATTTGTTTCACAAATTTTTCAGTCAAAATTATTGAAGTATAAACTCTATTTTATAATTAAATTTGAAAAATGAATAAATAAACAGTAGATTGAAATAAGTTGCTATATTTTTGTAATTCCCGCGAAAACCACAATAAACTACGAAAACCACGCTTGTTGGTCGTGCTACTAATTTTCCGGACATTTGAGGTTCTGGTGTCCACATTTACGCGCGTAACCCATACATGTCCATTAGGTCGTTAACGCCCCATTGCAGTTTTTGACTTCTAGTGTTAGTGTAAATTAGGGAATTTCATGTGTTCAACACAGGATAATCCATGTCGGGGATATAGGCAAGCCTATTTCATTTTTGTTGTGCCTCAACACGTGTTTACTTTTCTGCATAACATCAACAACAACAAGTAAATAAAAAAATAAATTAAAAAATAGTTTTGGGCATATAAGGGAAGTCACTTCTTCTTGTTTGGAGTTGAAGAATGAGCTGTGATTGATTAAAAAGAAAAATATCTCTTCAGTTAGATTGCGAAACATTGCGGTCCGCATCTATTGTACCTCTAGATAAACTTGTCCATCTAGAGCTTATCCAGAACAGATACGAGGTAAATGATCGGCGACTTATCGAGCGATAGAATACCAAGGTGGATACGCCGTATCCATCACCCGTATCTAGGGAGGTAAGTGATCAGGCTGCTGGACTCCTTTTCAATCCTGTTCAGACACGTACTGTGAAGATTTTTTAAAGAACGGGTCATCAAAGGGGGCCAACTCTTAAACAGCCAGTCTTTGCTCTGTGAACCATAAATGAGATGCACTGACCTTATGGTAACCGACGAAGTCAATTGCGCCATGTTCACGGAGGAAATGATGAAACAGCGGCATTTCTCGAATGAAATTCAGCCGGGAGACAGCGTCTAGGCTATAAAGTAAGACCCCGTGACGAGGAGACGGCGATAGTGGTTTAGAAGAAGTTTCGAAGAAAGTAGGATTGCCAGAAGGAATGAAAAAGAAGTCCTTATAAATTTCCGTGTCGTTTTTATAACAAATAGCACGCACAAATTCAATTTCCGGAGGAATCAAAGAAAAATGAGTGAAAGGTTGAGAAATTGAGCCATATCTGAAACAGATACGTGGTATAAAAGTTTCATACATCTCATAAAGAAGATAACACTGAATATGAGAAATTGGTGCCGGCTGGATTCCGTAATTTTAGGATATATAGATGCAGTTGCATGGGGACATAAATTACGCAGGATAGTAAATAACGATTCGAGGTAGATACAAATTTCTCCAATACTTTAAACAACATTTCGAGAGTAGGTACGGGAAAATCTGGCAGAGATTTATGTCTTAAATTGATCTGCGCAGCTGACGCGCATAACATAGCAAAAGGGTCTAATAATGTAAGTACGAGCTTGTATTCCCTGAGAAATTTTCAACATAACTTACACTTTCACTCAACTTCCAAAGAGGCATTTTTTTTTAGCAAGTTCACCTCAGTGATCCATGAAGTGTGAAGATACATTAACTATGGGTCATGAGCAGGAATTCTTGTTTTTAAAGATCACACTTCAGCCAAACCGACAATTGTGATTCTGATGATAAGGGTAAATTTCTATGCTTTCGAAGTCAGCAGCCGTTCTTAGACTTTCATGAGTTTAATGTAACCATATAGAACAATTTCCCTTGATACCTTGGCTCTTGAACCTGGAGCTTCTCACCGGTTGAAGAAAATTTGCGGCACTTTCAAACGGATTTGCACATAGGTAGACCTAGAAAGAGCCGCACCTACATAGATCTGTGACCAAGGAGAGTTCTCATAACACTTTGCCGAGGAGATGGGAAAGATGGTTTGCACCTACACATTCTTGTCTTTCAAATGCATCGATATAGTGTTGTCCAAAACTAGGTATACGTGCAAAGCTGAAAATCGATTTCCAGACGTGCTTTTCACATAATAGTGCAAAGAGATAGTTCCAGTTTTTAAGCCTCCTGCAGCCTGATTGTTGAAATTTTGTGTTTGTTAGGCCGACATAGATGACATAGGTTAAAAGGCAAAGCGTGATTGGTCGGCTATGTCTTATCGGTGCTTTGTCGGGTGGAATGGACGACATACTGTCGGAAACTAAAGAGGTGCCGTTAGCTTAGGGCTGTTCTATCGGTTGTCGGTAAGCTACCGAAACAGTTCCGTTAAGAAAAAGTTACGATAAGAGCGCTCTTCCCGATAGCGATCAGAGTTTTCGGAGCTGACGAAAATAAGATGTTGCCATTTGTACATCTATTTTACGCGCCGCCGCGCTAGGCAATCTGATAAACCGACACACGGGGCAACAATGCATTGAGTGCGAGCTCTCAAAACTCCGATAAGGCCGGCTGTTGTCGATATCATCGCCACTGTCGGTACTGCCGCCAGTTTCAATATGAGACGATGTCGATAGTGTTCCGGCAAGAATTCGTTTGAACACCCCTACGTTAGCTTGTCGTGAGTTCAACCCAAAGACATAAAGACGGAGCGCTAAAAGCAAAAAATGAAGCTTCTTTTCACTCACCTCTACTATTGGCTAGAGGATTGGCGGCGAAATCGGGACAAGTTTGAAATTCAAATGTTGGGCGGGAACTAAATAAAATTGCGAAAACAAAGTATTTTCGGTTGATTTTTGCCCAAATTCACTTACACACTCATATTTTTATAACTTTAGGTTAGTTTTGGTCCGTCGTCGACCGATTAATTTCATTTGGGAGTAACGGTCATCTACGACTGGAACGGCCTGTTTGAACCGGCAGAACCACCATGAGCAGAAGAAAAACTAACTTTATCTGAGATTACTGCCTGTTACCGAGCAAAAGTAGGTGTATTATAATAGGACGCAGTCCCAACTTTCTTGATATATTCGTTTCAGGCATTTAAAATACGTTTCGAAGAAGAAATGTGGAAAAATCAAGAGGACAAGTTCAAATCAAATTTCCGTTTGCCGCCATGAATTCCCGCGCTCATTTACACACTCACACAAGCACCCAGCGCCAAACTAGGCCTCACTTTTTCCCCGTGCTTTACGAGCACTCCGTCTTTACGTCTTCGGTTCAACCCGACATAGGCACGACAAAGCAGCGATAAGACACAGCCGACCAATCACGCTCTGACTTTTAACCTATGTCATTTATGTCGTCCCAACAAACACAAAATTTCAACATTCAGGCTGCTGCACTCAGAAAAATGCAAAAAAACATTCGATTACGAAATTTAGGTAGTACCATTCCTTTGAACTTTGTGTGATGTATGGTCTCTATAATCAAGCTGAGTGCAGTAGGCTTAAGAACTGGAACTTCCTATATGTGCTATTACAAGAATAGTATGTCTAAAAGTCATGAGCCATTTTTGAGCCTTTAAGCATTGCCAAGAGGTTCCAAAAAAATCCTGTCATCTATTGGTGACAAACCTGGCAGTTTTATTGAAGATACAAATATATTAGATGAAAGAGAGTCCAGGAGATCCACTCCAAAAATGAGAAGGGGAAGAGTGCATCATTCGGGTCGATGCAATTGGCGAATGAGACAAAAAAGCATTGGTGGGGGAATTCAACCCAGATAGCACAAAATATGCTATGGATATCCGTACAATATCCGCGATTTTTGGATATCCATAGAATATATGAAGATATTCTATTGATGCTCTAGGAATATCCAAGTGACCACACAGCCTATGTTTCGAATATTCTATGGATATCCATAGAACATTCAGTGTAAAAAAAGATAGATGTGTTGTCACCGAAGTTACCAACTGGTTTTTTTTTTTTTTTTTTTTTTTTTTTTTTTTTTTTTGTCACGCGCAGTAGACCGATTTGCGTCTCTGCGCACGGGCGGCGGCGTTGTTTGTGATCGTACCGCGGGTCGCGGTCAATTTTCGATCGCTGTTGAACGACTGCATCGTGGTCGCTTGCAAATGGAAGGTAAATATAACTGCCAGCTTAACTGACGACACCCGCGACACGCAATTGATGGAAGGGCGGGGGGAGGAAAAGGAAACATAGGAGAAAGAGACCAAAAAAAGAAAATAAGAAAAAAACGAAAAATAGAATGGCAAGTAGAAAAAAAAGAAAAAACCGAGAAGAGAAAAGAAGAAGAGAGAGAAGGAAGGAGGGAACAGAGGGATCGTTCATTATCGCCTCAAATTGCTCCAGAAAACATCAGAATTTTCCAGGGGAGCCCCCTCGCCTTCTCACTTGCGGGCGTCTCATACGCACCAGATCCCCGTCCATGCACTGAAAAAAAGTAGCATGGATCAAGCATGATGATTCTTGAATTTGCCATCAAGAATTTTTTTGATCTTGCTTAAGGCTGACTTTTTCTTGATACAAGAAAAATAATGTTCGGATCAAGCAAAAAAGTAGCTCATATTAACCAGAAAAATTCTTGATTAAAGAGGAAATCTTTCTTGGCGGCAAATTTAAGATTCTTCTTTTTTCAGTGTGGTGAGGGGTCCATGGGGGGGGATAACTTAAGATTAGGGGGAAACTCGTATGGATTCAAAAGTTTTCAGGGAAAATGGGCACCACTGTCCTAGACTACCCCGACCCCCACAAAGCGTCATTCTCGGTTGTACCAGGTCAGACAATTTAGGAAGCTTAGGAAGGGGGGAGTTGTTGTATAGGAAATTGACCCCTTGTGATCCGAATTTCATAGCGCCGAAGCCTCCCTCCCCCTTCTCTTCAAGGAGCTTAACGGGAAGTCCGAGTCTTACAAGTGCGAAGGTGCTCGATTAGACTGCGGATCTACTGCATCTAAATTGAAGAGTACGAACGATTTTGACTGAGAGTTACCCCTGAAAATTCAGAATCGGCCTATCCGATTGATGAACTCTTAAAGAGAGGGACGGTGCTTCCTTGGTCTCAAAATTGACGTAGATTCTCTGGAAAAAGAGACTGCGTTAGGTATTTGACCTCAAAGAGTCTATGTTTCCTTCCCTAGTAGCCAAAATATTATTTTTAATGCTTATCGAAATAGCAATTTAATATGTATCCTAATAGCTATAAAATAGGGTATAAAATAGCTGAAAATAGATATAAAATATCCTATCTAAATACCCTATATAGTGTCCTTTTTTTCAACTATAAATACCGTATTTTATAGCTTTCTCTATAGCTATAAAATAGGTATCTGAATAGCTATTTAATAGGTATATGGAAACCTATTAAAAAGGTATTTTACTTTCGAAAGAGAACCAAAATTGAGACCTTGAAAATGATAAGGTGGTAAGTGCATTGATACGTTGCCAAGATTGTGCAACTGTATACGATAAATGCAGCAAATCAAAACCATGTAGAGGCGAAACTTTTTTAGCAAAAATTCCCTGGGCTATGCTGATTTTTTTTTTTTTTTTTTGCATTGAAGTTTGAAATTCTATATGATTTTGGTTTGCAAAAAAAAAGTTGCTCCATCATAGCAACGTTGCAATGCACTTATCATCTTATGGTTCTCAAGGCTGCAACTAAGAATAGTAAGAAAATTCACTAACATGTTTAGGAAAATACACAATAATTCTTGGGTTTCTTAAATCTGAAGGTTGAATGATGCAATTTATTCCACCCATTTAGTGTTTTAAATTATTCACTTTCCCATGAAGTACATGACTTCCCTTAGTTTAATAGTCCAAATAAAGTCTTACGGTCAATAAGGACTTTTTGTGAAAATATTGTCCGCAATATTCTTAAATGATGTAAAGGTGCCGGATTTTGTACGGATATTTTCGGAAGATTAGATGCTAACTGGGAACTGGGCATGTAACCCTTGCAACAGGATGAGTGGCTTGAAAGAAGAAAAAAATGTATTAAATAGCTATAAAATACATATTCTCAAACGGAAATTTTAAACCAAGATAAATGCGCATGGAATATCTATGAAATAGCTATAAAATATGCTATTTGTACGATACCGTATAAAATAACAAAATAAATAGCTATAAAATAGCCTATCCGGCCGATACCTATTCGATAATCCTATTTTGGCTACTAGGGTTGTCCTGAAGCCCCCTCAGGTTTTCGTGGGGAGCGTAAAAAGGATTCATGATCATTAAATTCGGGGTTCCCGCGACCGCATTGGAAATTGATCGTATTAAAATTGAGGAGTGAAAAAAATGTTAACCTTTTGAGACCGCTATGAGTTTAAAATGGGTCCACTCGACCACCCAACACCCGAAAACGACCACTTTAAACAAAAAGGGTCGGTGTCCCCCTCCCCCACCCCACAAATTGCTTTCAAGTCGCAAACTTGACGGAGATTCTCCAGAATAAGATACCTCCTTACGTAATCGACCCCCACGAATACGAATTGGATGGTCTCGGAGCTCCTCCGATCTCTTGGGGGAGTTTGCGGGGGGGGGGGGGGGGGCGGGCCGGCGGGGGTGCTATCATCGAATTTTAAAAATATCCGATAAAAACTTATGAAAAATCGGCATATTCATGCCTGAACGTCACAATAAAAACAACGTTTTGCGGATCTGCGGATATGTTATGAGTATCCTACGAATATCCAAAACATAGGATGGGTCGCCACTTGGATATCCTTTGGATAGCCATGGGATATCCACAGATACCTCCGTGGATATCCGTTTTTACCCTCGGATATCCGAGGACCATTCTATGAATATGCGTGTCCTATCTGGGAAGCCAGAGTGACACGTTAGGAACGGTTCATTACATGGTTTGCATTGTCAAAACCGATTGTAGAAGCGGTTTGTTTACTCAACAAATGCAGAAAAAAAAAAAGATTATGAAAAGCAAATTGGAATAAAGTGAAATAATTTTCGTACCCAGACGTTCACATTTTTTTGGGGGGCAAAATTTTGAGAGAGCCTTTTTGTTCTTGATTGAAAAAAAAAACTTAATAACACAGGCAGCATGAGTTGAGCAGAAAAGGCGAGAGGAAAAAGTAATGCTTACACTATAGCATCATCGATGTTACGGTCCAGCATCTGAGGGTTAGGAGTTTTTCTATTGAAAGGCTGCCAAATACAAAAGAATAGGGGCTCTGGACTTCTTCTATCTTCAGGCGATATATTATAATGCTTGCATCCAGATTCCACCAAAACAAGCTTAATCCTGATCTTGTTGTAACCATTTTCTTCAGTGTGACTCTTGGTATAGAATTTGTTGTCTCGAGCATTTGTATTACTTTTGAAATTTTTGGTGCTATTGCTTAAAATCAAAAGGTCCAAAAGAGGTGGTCTTGATTTCTCCGATTGAGCACAATTGACGCCAAAACCTTCCAAGAAGCCCAGAATTGAGGGATCGAATGGATCCAACCGTGAAATGCGACATCCGGAAGTTTTGACGAAAAAAGCATCATCGACTGTAAAATAAAGAAGAAGATAGGTTTTTATTAAATTTTACGGGAAAGATTAGAGATAATGAGCTACTGCTTGAAAGGTTGCGTTCCTGTCGTGATGGACACCAAGGAAATTAATCACAAAGAAATTAATATTCTGTGGGAAGTTAGTCTGTTGCAGGCAAGAGGTACAGCCAAACAAATATACTCGTGACTGTGTAAATCGCACGAAAATCACGTTAGATACCTACGTCAAAAGAGTCTGAAATCTATTCCTTAGTGCACAATCTGCGTAGTTTGTAACACGATTTTTCAAGTTTCCCTCGTCTGAGGGCATTTTTTCTCAGTCACCACAGCCCACAATAATGAAACTGACCAAAAAGTGTCCCGAAGTATGCATACATTATTTATAAAATAATAATTGATGAAGTTCTAGCCGTTCGACGGCCTACGTCGCGTCTGTCCAAAGACATGAAGACGGAGCGCTAAAAGCAAAAAATGAAGCTTCTTTTCACTCACCTCTACTATTGGCTAGAGGATTGGCGGCGAAATCGGGACAAGTTTGAAATTCAAATGTTGGGCGGGAACTAAATAAAATTGCGAAAACAAAGTATTTTCGGTTGATTTTTGCCCAAATTCACTTACACACTCATATTTTTATAACTTTAGGTTAGTTTTGGTCCGTCGTCGACCGATTAATTTCATTTGGGAGTAACGGTCATCTACGACTGGAACGGCCTGTTTGAACCGGCAGAACCACCATGAGCAGAAGAAAAACTAACTTTATCTGAGATTACTGCCTGTTACCGAGCAAAAGTAGGTGTATTATAATAGGACGCAGTCCCAACTTTCTTGATATATTCGTTTCAGGCATTTAAAATACGTTTCGAAGAAGAAATGTGGAAAAATCAAGAGGACAAGTTCAAATCAAATTTCCGTTTGCCGCCATGAATTCCCGCGCTCATTTACACACTCACACAAGCACCCAGCGCCAAACTAGGCCTCACTTTTTCCCCGTGCTTTACGAGCACTCCGTCTTTACGTTTTTGCGTCTGTCACTCAATTCTTAGATTTTAGCCATCATTAGACGCTAGCTGATAAGACATCGTTCTTAGCCACTTAAACATTTTTGAAAATAATGAAAAGTAGTTTTCTTCAATCAATATGAGTGGGACGTCATCTTCTGGCAAAAAAAAACAAAACAAAATTCCCTCCTTAAAAATTAAGGGGGAGGGGGCTGGTCTAGTTACCCCACAGCGTGGAACAACTAAGGTTAGAAAACCCGACCAAAAAATGGGAAAATAAGATTCCACTGTTTAATAATCCTACATTGAGACTGAGGAAAAAATAAAAAGTTAGCCTCGGCTGTCACATAAAGCTGATGGATGGAAAAAATTCTTTGAGTTGCAATTTTGGCATTTCCTCCGAAACTCCTACCCAGTTTATACCCAAACCTACTTTCACTGCTGAATGTTATAAGAGGAAAAAAAAATTAAAAAAATACGTCACTACTTACTTTTGAAAACTTCTATCAATATTTGTTCTTTTAGGGGAAGTCAACATAGTCCCCATCTTCATCATTTAACTATACTGCAGTATACGCTTTTCTCAGGTTCTACTTGAAGGATTTTCAAAAACATTTTTGTTAAATTCCTTAGACTTTATTCTACTTTTAGACGAAGCAGTTTTGAAAAATTTTGAAAGTTGAAATTTCCATGAATATTTTTTAAAACTAACATTTTTGTCAACAACTTAGGTTTTCAACCCCCCTTTTTTTCTTTTGAAGAGTGATAAAAAGAAACACTCTTGTCTGTAGTAAGTAAAATAGGTAAGGAAAAGAACAAAAAAGTTTTTTGGAAATCCATTGGTTACATTTTGTGAGAATTTTACCTCACGGTGAAAAATCATAGTTTTGAGAAAAACCTGTCTGAAGTTTGGAACACTCGTAAGGGTTCCATTGCTCTGTCTGTAACAAAACATTGCTTAACTGATTCAAAATTAACCATATTATACAAGTTTTGGTTCTTAAATACAGCTGAGATATCGACGGTGTAAGTCGGCAACCGCAAAACTCGGTTTGCGACGTTACGTAGACTTCCCATCATACCTTATTTTTTAAACCGAAAACTACTCGACGGCAATTCTTTATAATTGTAGTGATTTTTCTTCTCTGCGCGGAGAAAATTCTTCAAGGAATGATGTCAATTTGTTCTCCTTTACAAAAATAACATATAGGCGGAGATTTTCAGACACCGCAAACGAGATATGTGATTGCGGATTTACGCCGGAGATATGCAGAAATCGATTAGAAAAAAAAACAAAAAAAATAAAAAGCTTTTGAAAAAAAACACTACCGCCGACTCCCCGTAAGATTAGGGTGCTTAAAAAAAATTTTAAGACCTATTCTCCAATCAAACTTCATGGTGCTAATGGACCTCAATAACGTGAGGATGGGTCTAATTTTGGGCTCGAACATTTCTTGGTAGATCCCAAACCCCCCAACCCCCTTTTTTTCGAAAAATGGTCTGATTTGGAGGATTTTTTTCCAAGCTGTATATTTACACACAATTCATTTTTTGGTGATTATTCAGATCAAATGCCTCATTTACCCGCATCTGATGAGAATCGAGTCGCCATGATTTTAACTTGGGGGCACACTCACGGGAAACACGTAATTTTCGGGAGGCATGAGAAAATCCGAGCAAAGGACTACGTGCAAAACGGGCCATTTGGGGCTCGAGGCGGATACTTTTGAGACTTGCCCTATTCATTCACCTAACAATGCCTCACCTTTTCCCGAAGTTTCAAGCCCCCCAAAAATTTTGGGGAGACGCGGCGGAGGGTCAAAGTTAAAAACCAGCAAAATTTTCGCGAATTTATTACTCGATAACCAAGAAGTTTTGGAAAATGCGGTTTAAACGAGCGTATTCAGCGTGACGAGAGCTTTCAGAAAATGTATAACATCATAGGGTTTTGTCAACTTCAGCTTGAATTATCGCCTCCGAAGCGCCGGAACGTTCAAAAAAGACCCCTTATTTTTTCACGTTTGGGCCGATTTAAAAATAAGCCATTTTTTTATTTTCGTGAAAAACTGATATATTGTTCCTGACTCTCTGTAGCCCCTCTAGCTCTTTACCGCATGCTGAGGAAATGTTTTGGTCGCGAGTTATGAGAGCGGAAAGGAGCGAAGGTCGGGAAAATCGGCTATTTTAAACTGCGCGCGCGGCGTTGATCGGAGGGAAAACGTCCCCTCCCACTCAGTTCGGCGAATCACACTCCTCTGCCGACCTCGCATTGTTGCCACATGTCTCCTAATCCGTCACCGCGCGCAGTTTAAAATAGCCGATTTTCCCGACCTTCGCTCCTTTCCGCTCTCATAACTCGCGACCAAAACATTTCCTCAGCATGCGGTAAAGAGCTAGAGGGGCTACAGAGAGTCAGTAACAATATATCAGTTTTTCACGAAAAAAAAAAAAGGCTTTTTTTAAATCGGCCCAAACGTGAAAAAATAAGGGGTCTTTTTTGAGCGTTCCGGCGCTTCGGAGGCGATAATTCAAGCTGAAGTTGACAAAACCCTAGGATGTTATACATTTTCTGAAAGCTCTTGTCACGCTGAATACGCTCGTTTAAACCGCATTTTCCAAAACTTCTTGGTTTTCGAGTAATAAATTCGCGAAAATTTTGCTGGTTTTTAACTTTGACCCTCCGCCGCGTCTCCCCAAAATTTTTGGGGGGCTTGAAACTTTGGGAAAAGATGGGGCATTGTTAGGTTAATGAATAGGGAAAGTCTCAAAGGTATCCGCCCCGAGCCCCAAATGGCCCGTTTTGCACGTAGTCCTTTCCGGTTTATGTTTTTCATATTTCTTTTCCATTGGTCAAGAAGTTCCAATGTTTTCGAACGATTCTTTTTTTGTAGGTGGTATAGCAGCGGGGAAAAGAAACGAATCCCTCCCCAAAAAACCCCAGGGGAGAGGGAGAGGGGTATTGGAGATTCATTGAAGGCACACTTTATGTGTCTTTGTCCAGAGGGTGACCATGTGATAACATCTTACCGTCTCCTCTAAAATTGCTTTGTACCCTTGAAATTACTCCCCCCCCCCTTTCACAGTATCTCTCCTTGCCTGCTACTCTCATCAACAAGTACAAGGTAGGAACTGTATTCGGAGCATAAATGGGGGCAGAAGACGAGTTCAGTATTTTTAACACTATTTTTAATATTACGTGGGTAATTAAATTTTTACAGCTACATTACAACTTTTCTATCGTGGACTGTTGCAAATTTGGCACATTCCTTCGGTGATTTTCAACGTGGTTTGCAGGACCATGCGCTCCTACCGAAAATGAAATCCCGACGCGAGTGTTCTAAAAATAGAGCCTTGAGCTTCACGGCGCTGTCACCGTTCAGGCACCAGCAGTGGTCTCCGCGCCTTCCAAATTTTCATCTTTTTCTTTTCCGGGAGGAACATTATTTGTTACGTTGCAACGACATCTATCGGGAATAAAGAATGGTAAATTTTCCATCCAGAGAATGAGCCGAAATATTGCTTCGATTTCACATCATGGTTGTGTCCGGTAATTTGCAACACAACAAGCATGAAGAAACATGGAGGGGACAGTCTGTGAAGGGAAGGGGAGTAATTTTAAGGATACAAAGCAATTTTAGAGGAGACTGTCAGATGTTATCAAATGGTCACCCTCTGGACAAAGACACAAAAAGTATGATTTTAATGAGTTTCCACTACGACCGGTGGCAGCCCGCTGGCCGGCTCATCCCTCCTCTCACCCGGGGGGAGGGGGTGGAGGATACGTTCCAAAGAGTCATTCGAATACATTGATACTTCTTGACCGCTTGGGGTCCACGTAAAAATGTGCGAGCTCAATTTGACCCATCTTCACATTATTGAGGTCCGTTATAGCACCAGGAAGTTTGAGTGGATCATAGGTCTTCAAAAAAAGTTTTTTTTTTTTTTTTTTTTTTTTTTTTAACACCCTACCCTAAAATCCTTGTAAATTTTCGGCTCTTTGATGCTACACTAAAGATAAATAATATTGCTTTGCTGACATGACGCTCAAAAAGGTTGATTTGTAGGATATAGTTTGCTATTGATTTCAGTGGTGCTTAAATTGGTTTTACGTCTAACAAATTCTACCATAGAATGAAACAGACAATGCCACTCAGTATAAATATGGCAATTTTTCGATTACTTACCTACATCTGTTAGAATGCCTTGAATGGGGATGAGGGGCAAATAATTGGAGTAATAGTATACGAGAATGCTTGAGATAATCAAGACTATGCCTAGGTGAGGAATAAACTTCCTGGTTGGCCATATCGCCACATACATCAGGCACCTGCAAAAAGGGAAAAAAATGTAATTTCATGACTAATTAAAAATATAAATTTGATTCATCACGCTTGCCAACAAAGAATTTATTTATTTTTCTTTCCAAAAATCTAAAAAACAACTATAATGGTATATTTAAATGGCGATCCTGGGAATCGCCTAAATCATCCGTCTGATTAAGTGTATTTCCCCGATGAAATCGGAATTTTCACCAAAATTCGAGTTTTGCTGAGGAAAATTCCATTTTTCGGCAAACTGAGGCTTGACAGAGATCACTCAGTCAAAAATATAAACAGTAACATCCTTCTAAAGCCTGAAAATATTTCCTGCTCTTTCTGAGGAAAAGGTTTTTCCAATCAAATGCCTTAATTTAAAACCATGTAAACTTATCTGATAGAGTTGTGTATGAAAGAATGAGACAAAATTTATTTCCAGTCGGCGAATGAGGCTTCACCAACCTAATTATTCCTGTTAAAGCAGCAAATGCCCTAAGTTCCTCCAGCAGCTCGGTACCTGTTTTTCAAAATGTTGACTTTTATTTTTTTGATATTATTGCTATTTGGTATACAGCTTCGTATTATTATTCTTGAGCGTTAAAGGACTGGCTCCTTGCTGTAATTTTTTCTGCCACCCATTCCAGGTATTTCTTGCACCCCTTTCTTGAGTATTATGCATACTTTGAATAATATAAGCTTCCCAAAATGACCACCTTTCTAGCTGCGGCTACAACAGGACCGTGCATGTCTCATTCACCACCAAGTAGATTCAAGGGGGCGCGAAATAATAGAACTAGAGGGCACCCGAGGGTTGACAGTTTTGGGACTTTCTTTGAAATTCAAAGATGATAGAAGCTAAGAAGGTGCCTTCTGGCATAAAAAAAAAAAAAAAAAAAAAAAAAAAAAAACGCTCAATTTTTTCAGAATTTAGTATTTTTTGTCCTCACACTTGTCATTTTCATTATACGTGGTTATTCAAAAGAACTCCACTATTTATTCTCTGTGATTGCAAGGGGGAAGTATGGGAATAGTACATAACCTGACTTAACAGGGAATCTTTCTTTTTTTTGTTGCTGTTGTTAATTTGCCACCGAAAGGATTAAATACAGAATAAAATTACATCAAATCGGATGAGAAACAGCACAAAAGAAAACAGTAAAATTACGAGAGGTAAGTTATAACAAGATAACTATAGACTGTCTACACACTTTTGGATGGCTGCCGGAAATCGCCGTTTGGCATGTCAACAGCAGCGTCGATTGTCTACAGGGAATCTAAGTACAGTCGGAATAACTAAGAGGTGCTGTGAATACATAGAAGTTAATTGAATAAATTATCAATTTTTTCAGCAGCTGTTGGCGTTACCTATACCTAGAACTGATCACGGCGAGATTGCGGTCGCTGTTGGTTGAGTTCCACTCGTGCCTTCTAGGGTGGGACAAACGTAAATATTTTTTTATTTTTTAATTTTCATTTTTTTTTTTTTTAAATTCTAAAACGGCAAAGGGTCGAACGTAAACGTTCCACGCCGTAACTCCTCCGACTTCATTGCAAACAAGGGTGTTGCAGTTTTGAGGGCTCAAATTCTCCGATTTTTCATTTTATTAAAAATTGCTCTCGGCGCAAGTGTCAGAATTTTACAAACCAAGGTATTCCCATTTACTGTAAAATGCAGAATTCATTATTGAAAGGAGAAAATCGATTTACTGATAATCAATATTGGTTTTCGCGATTTTACGTAAAAAATGACAATTTTTCAGTATACTTCATGCCTGTGGTACACAGGCTATATAATATAATCACAATGTGCTAGAGCACCGATGAAGTCACTCCTAGCTAGAACGATGCATTTCTAGCCTCTTGCTCGCCGGAAAGTGAAAACCATAGGTACGACATTTTTCAACACGGCGGTTCTAGTATGGGAGAATCGCGGGCTGGGAGTGATCTCCGGAGCTTATTAATTTAAATCGATAATTATATTTGCGAATTATGGCCAATTATGTTGACCTAAATCATAAGAAATTAAAAAATATACGAGACTTCCAGTTTTTATAGAATAATTTTATACCCGCATTTTCTGAACGAAACCCGGAGCCCGCGCATGGCATCACCGCACACTTATTATCTCAGGAGTACTGGACAAAACCGTCTCAAAAAGTGACTTTATCGTTGCTCCAGTACATACTGCGACTGCATTGTACTTCATGCTGTGGTAACTTTTCGAAAGGAACAATTATACAGGCCTAAATTGGAAAAAACGCTGAGATTCCAATATTCAGAAAATAATCGTATTAGCTCTTCCTCTGCACCCACCGATTGAGGTTTCTTTTGAAAACAAGCTTTGCCGAGGAAATTCAATTTTCCAGGAAATTGGTGCTTGATAGAGATACGTCGTAGCCATTTTCAGATTCTGCAACCAAAATTACCGGGGATCGCATTACCATCCATCTCTAGCACGCCTCTCTTAGTCGCAAGTTCAAGTGAAGACGTCCGGTGGTTGCGTGCAGTCAGGTCCTATGGAGACTTCGGCCTCTCAACACTGTGTGGTGCTTATTTGTTGCTGAGCAATTCAGAAGCAAGTCCATTCCTTGTCCAGGCCTGACCACGTGCGCAAAATTCAATTCGTTCTTTGACAGATGTGGGACTTTCCTTCCACCCATAATCGGTCGGCATTTTTGCATTTCTAATGGCTTACCTATTGTAGTCAAGTCGAGTCGGAATGTATAGACACCACTTGCAAAGACAGTCATAGGTAAAGAGTTCATGCATCTTCCAATTACCTACCTGGGATGTCCTGAATCTGATGACAAAGAACACTTCAAATATCCATCCTACAAAGTGTTAAGACTTCGAACGCACGGCACATAACAAAGTATGGTGCAAACTTTATTAGTATTAGCACGGAAAAAAGTACCTTACGCGCTTACCTTCATAATCGAATCATTTCTATATGAGTGAATCAATATTTAAAAGTCGACTTATTCTCTATGTACCTGGCAGGTATAGTCATTTTTCAAATTTTCCGTAATTCATCTTTTCAAATTATTACCTGCTAGATTGGGCTATGTAACGAATGTGCGCTGTGCCGAGCCGCGGTATGTTATATGTATAGAGATTCGACCAGTTTAATCCGATGTCCTTAAACTGACTGATAAGATGCAGAGGAAATAAGAAATTACTGAGATAAGGTTTTATAGAACACGGTGGCGGCTTTACTTGCAAATTAACCACATCCCTTAAGTGTCGATGCAGATGGAAAAAGAGTGTAGGGTGACAATGGTAACATGGTAAAACAAATCCGTGGTGTACCTACCTACAATAAAACGGGCATTTCATTTTGTGCAACCAAAAATTGAGGCTATAATTTTCCAAGAATACGTGGCCTAGATTTTCTTTTTTAAAAAAATGTACAGTTAACACGATTTCTTCTGCTTTTTCTACAAAGAATTTTGAGGTATTTACAACTCGATTTTCGTCTTAAACGAAGTGGAAAACTTCGTGCGGTTCGGACAACAATCATAATGACTTGACTCTCCGCGTTCTCTTCGATTCATACTAACAGTAAATTAGTGATGTCGATATTTTAGACCAAAATATCGATAATATCGTATCAATATTTCAACGTCGATATATCGTCCGTATCGATACATTTATCTTTAGAAATATCGAGTCAATTTTTCTTTCTTTCTTCTGCTGAGTTGTGTGCCTAATATTACTCTGTTGGCGTATATTTAAGGTATCTTGAAGATATCTTGAATTTTAAAAACACCTCTTCCGATAACGTAAAAAGGTTTCTAAGAATCGACTTGAAGACGTCTCAAAAACGCAGGTATTTTTTTATAACGGTTTAAACACATCTTGAAAATACCTTTAATTTGTCTTAGAGATGTGTGTTTTTTTAAGATGCTTTGAAGACGAAAAAAGAGATGTCTTTTTGCTATCAGGGAAGGAAAGAGGTTGGAGCCAAGGCCGAAATTTTTCGAAGAAATAGAGGGGCGAAATGCACTTACGATAACAGTTGGCTTCCAAAACAAAGTATGGTTGGTTCGTGTGCAGAAAGCGCATAATAAGAAGCGCCAGCGAGAAAAACTCACCTTAGATAAGGATATATGAGAGAGACGCTTAGATCCTCTGCAGCTCATCACAAAATTGGATAGGTAGGTCTGATATGCTAGTTTACGAGCCGAGACTTTGGGTTAAAGGATCGTCAACATGCGAAAAAACATGATCCATTGCATAGAGATTTTCCACTCGACACCGCGATGATGGATCACTTTAGGAGCTGTAACACCTGTGCAGAGGGAAAAAAAACTTTTACATCAAAATTTCAAGAGACCAGGAGGCAAATTACCCTCTGAAACCTGGAATTTCGTCTAAAACACCGCAATCACACGCTGAATGTGGGAGCTGAATGTGGCTTGAATGTGGAAGTCATCGGCCCGATGCCTGAATTTTGCGCGTGACGCGCAAAATTCAGCAACGATTCTCAGCAACCATCGGACCAATTTTGAATTTGTCTGAACTATTCGAGTAGATTTGATACACATCTGGATGAAAATAACTCGAATTTGCTAAATTTTAGCCGTTGGGCGACGACTGTGGACTTCCACATTCAGCTGCTAAATTCAGCGTCTGATTGCGGCATAATTTTGGTGCCGCTGCCGGCTGTTGTGACGTCAAGCGACACGATTGAACCTGCCCAGCGCGGTGCGTGTAAACAACCTCGCATCCCCAATGCATTACTATAGGGAGAAACAACTTTTCTTTCTTTTAGGCTTCAGCGGGATTTTTTTCTAAATTTGATTTTTCAGGCATGTAAAGGTGGTTCTTAGCTTCATTCTTACCAAGTTTGAAGGAAATCGCACCGACAGTTTTTTTTTTTTTTTTTTTTTTTAAGTGTTGATGAAATCTCGGTTCGGTAGCTTCATATATTCCTTTAACTAGCCGCGATTACCTCGCTATGCGAGCTGTCACGCCCAGCCGCGGAGTGCCCCTGGACCCCCGGTTTCTTGCTCCGCGATGAACTTGCGACTCGCTCCGAGAGCCGCCCCTCATAGTAGTGAGCCCCTGATACCTGAAACGTCATCTATGATGCTATGACGTCACGTGACACGATTGAACCTGTTCAGCACGGCGCGCGTAAACAACCTCGTACCTATCCCAAATGCATTACTATAGGGAGAAACAACTTACAGCTCTTGCGGGCGTCCTGGACAATATTCACGAATCGGAACAATTTTGATCTACCCCTCGCTACAACAGCGAAGCGTGTACAAAGTTTAAAAAAAATCGCCCCGGCCGATTTTTTTCTAAGATGGAAAGAGTGAGCCGGTACGGCAGCTCCTTTATATAGATGAATAAATATTTGAAAAATTGCCCCCCCCCTTCACACCACGGCCCATGCGTGGTCCCCTCTCCCCTTAAATTAAGACCAGGGTATCAGTACCCTCTGCAGCTGGCAAGGTGGAGCAATGGAGCATCTTCAAGCGCAGCAATGCGCTGCACCACGTTTTGTTCATGCTACCGACCGTTATCCCACCGCAAGCCGTTTCGAAGCGCGTTCAATTTGGTCTCTCTACAGCCATGACAACATACGCCCATAACAACATTTGGTACGCCTTTCCTTCAGGATATAGAGACTTGATTCAGTCATTCTCCGTTGCAGGTCTTGGCGTCAAGGACCCTTTAGCAAATAATGTTCCACGTTCAATATTTCAAGCATGGCACCTGAACTTAAATACAAAATACCACTTAGTTTCCCTAGCAACTTGTAAGAGGTAACTTTCAGAACTATTTGAAGACTGTAGAGAGTCTCAATGCATTTTCTCTAGATTTTTTTTGCAGAATGTTTCCAAAATTGCAGAATGTTTCCACGGACGCACGACATGGTAAGCTGTGAAACTTCCCTCGGACTCTCACGAAGCATTGTTTTCGCACACTTGACAAGTTGCACATGCATGTTTACTAAACATGTTTTAATTACCTGAGTTAGCTAGCAGATGAAAACCTCTGTCAAGAGGGGAAGTTGCAGGCATGTAAGCAAAACATTAGAGGGAAGCGAGAATATGCGCGGGGAATATTGATTTTTGAGGACGACCCTCGTGGTCTCGTGAGGAGGCGCTCGGAGCAGCGGTGGTTCACGACTGAAGTACTCAAGTCCACTATGCTTTGCTCTCAGCCACCGGATTTCAAATCCCACTGCATCGCAACCGCCGCGGTGCACCATGGTCTGGAGGTGCCGAATTTATAATGGCCAAACATCCGAAAATGATCAACAAGTCATACAAATTGATACTCCTAAGTTTTGAGGAGCGCTAATTTCATGAGGTCGGTTATACGATATTTTATAATTCAAGATAGGGGAAGCAGGCTTTCACATCCTCATTCAGGAAATTTGCCAAAGAAATTCAGGAACTTATAAAAAGGTCAAATAAAACGGCATTATTTTGTGTATTCTAGAGAGCCACCAATCTTGTATTAGATATAAATTTTGCATCAGTGGTGAGGCGTGGATGATCTACTTCCCCACATTTGAAGCTATCGTAAAGAATCGATCCTAAAGGTGTTCGATGCAAACACACTTTTTATCGATCCTTTTCCATAGGTTTAAAAGGCAGATCAATCGATATGTTACAGTAAAAACCCGAAATCAGTGAAAACTAGTTTTCACAAACCCCCTTCGAGAGAACTAGTTTCCAGCATCCTATATATTAAAATGCAAAGTCCCGAATCTTGGGGCATTAACTTTGAGAGAACCACCGGACCGATTTGCATGGGATTTTTTTTTAAATGGAAGCCCCTGAGCTGTAGATTTGCAGGCTGTGATCGTTTTTTCGATTTTCTCAAATTTTCTCCCATAATTTTCTAAAATTGTCTTCGATGCATTAAAACGGAGGTCCGAATCTTTGGACGTTAACTTTGAGAGAACCACCGGGCCGATTTGCATGGGGTTTTTTTTAAATGAAAGCCTGTGATCTGTAGATTTACAGGCTGTGATCGTTTTTTCGATTTTCTTAAATTGTCTTACTTTTATCGACGAGTGAAGTTTAGCTGGGCTCAAATTTTCTCCCATTTATTCAGACTAAAGTCCGCATTTTGGGACATAAACTTTGAGAGAACCACCGGACCGATTTGCATGGAGTTTTTTTTAAATGAAAAGCTTCTGATCTGTAAATTTGCAGGCTGTAATGGTTTTTTCGATTTTCTCAAATTTTCTTACTTTTATCGACGAGTAAAGTTCAGCTGTTTCGAGCGGTCATCTGGCCGCTACCTGCTTGCCCGTCTCTAGATACCCCCACTAGGGTCTCAGCCACCCCTCCCACCACGTTCTTTCGGCTATCTCCGTTTTCTTTCGTATAGCTTTCCTCCCACCAACCTCAAAGAAGGTTTGGGTCGCATTGTCGTTCGTCACTCACCACCCACATTCCGTCGCAATCTCTCAGCTACTCCGCTTCACCACTTCTTGATAGGCATCCTGGCGCGGCGGTTTGACTGACCCTGACTTGTTAACTGCAGCGGTGCGCACACGTATTGCTAACAACATGTATTGTTATGGACATTTCATTCTTATTTGTTCTTTTCTCTTTCCAACTTTGTTTCAAATTTACTTCGTTTCTTCCTCTCTCTTTATTTTGTTGGTCGGTCGACTACGTTGATCGGCTTTTTGCTATTGAAAGCACATTAAGACTTCATGGATTTTCAATATCATCATTTGATCTTAGCCTGACTCTCCTCCCCCTAAAACTATGATTCCATGATTTCTGCCGCTAACCCAGAGCAACATCAAATTATTTCTGAAATAATTAGTCTCATCCAAAATCCATCTTACACGTGTGATGCGATTTTCATTGATGGTCCAGGAGGATCGGGAAAAACTTTCGTTTAAGAATGTCTTACTGCGTATTGTACAAAGGAAAACTTAGACGTCATCTCCGTTGCTTGGACAGGTATCGCCGCATCGTTGCTACCTAACGGTCGGCCGGTTCATAGCAAATTCAAAATTCCTTCGGTTCTGAATGAGAATTCTGTGTCGAGTCTCACGGTTATAGCTCAAGAGAGGCTGAGACTATTCAGAAAACAACGATCATTTTTTGGGGCGAAGCTCCCATGGTTATCACGCATGCTCTGGCATGCATCGACCGACTTCTTATTTAGAGAATGGGTAATGATATCCCTTTTCGAGGAAAAATTGTCGTCTAGGGTGGTGATTTTAGACAGGTTTTACCCGTTGTTCCGCATGCTTCTCGCCAAACATTAGTGCAAAATGCAATCAAATTCTCACCACTTTGACCTCTTTTCAAAATCAGAAAAACTTACTCAAAATATGAGAACTTTGCAAGACGAAGCGGAGTTTGCAAAATTTTAACTCGAAATAGGTGATGGTGTTTACCTTTCTGCTAAAAAAGGCCATGCCGGAATTCATTGATTTACCGACAAGCAGTATTATTGAAACTGATATTATTACTGAAATTTATGGAAAAGATAGCTTCCTCATGTTCGAACGTAGATTTCACAAACTGCGCAATTCTGGCCCCTAAAAATAAGCATTGCAATGAAATTAACGACAAGGTTGTTGAAGTTCTTTCAGGTGTCTCTAAAACGTACTTCAGTGTTAACAGGCTCATTGTAGAGGAGGAGGGAGAGGCTCTCAATTTTCCCCTCGAATTCTTGGACAGTCTTAATCTTAGTGGCTTACCACCGCATAAACTCACACTTTTGGAGGGGGTTTTTGTCATGCTTTTAAGAAACCTCAACGTTTCTAAAGGTTTATCGAATGGTACCCGATTGATCGTCTGGAAACGCTATGAAAATTGTCTTGATTTGCAGGTCATTTCCGGCGAGAAGGCCGGTGAAAGAATTTCACTGCCAAGAATTGATTTGTCACCTGCAGACTCCTCTCTCCCTTTCTCTTTTAAGAGGCGACAATTTCCAATTCGCATTGCGTTCTGCATGACCATCATCAAAGCTAAGGGTCAAACACTGAAGCGAGTCGGCATTTATTTACCCCAAACAGTTTTTGGCCATGGTAAACTATATGTTGCACTCTCACGAGCTACATCGTACAAAAATTTTGAAGTCCAAATTCTTCCCAAAGGCAACCGTACAAAAAACATCGTGCACAAAGAGGTGCTTCGATCTTTTATAAATCCCAAAAACCCCATAGTCATTAGAAAATTATCAAAAAATAAAAATAAAAAAAATTTAAACAGTAACACAAAAAAAAAGAAAAATTAATAATGCGAGCTTTTTATAACATTTTTCGGTAGAATGGCAGTCTCCACCCTGTAACGCAGAGAGGCAGTTAAATTCCTTGATCTTCTGCCGCAGAATCATCATCATTATTAAATAGATTCAACTAATCGCTCCGATTCCAAATAAGCTACTGCACCACCATTGCTAGCTGTGGAGGGCGCCCGTTGGGCGCCCGGAGCAGCTAGTTGAAAACTAAAATTAGCTGGGACCCTCCAAGTATAGCATTTTTCAACGGAAAAATCGCGGGATATATTGCAATTTTATCGGCGATACAATCGCCAGAATCATCAACATCTGAACAATTATCCTCGATCTTAACGGAGTAAAATCACGATTTTATCGCTCAGCAATTTATCGCGATAGTTTCGACATAAAAATCGCGATAACCGGCGATTTTATCGAACCTAAAATTGCGATGTGTAGCCATTTAATCGCCATGTATAGCAGTTTTTAATGCGAAAAGATCTCGATAAATTGCCACCGATATAATCGCGATAACCGACCGATAAAATCGCTATTTATAGCGATCACTGCTACTTGGGCCTCACCGTTGGAACCCGTTTTATCTACTTGGATATTAGTAAAAACTAGTTTTAACTGGTAAAAACTAGAATTACTTACTTAGGGAAAAGTATTTCACACACTTTCGCCTCTGCAAGGGTTGCACTCTACAGATACCTAGATAAATTTGCAACTCAACAGACCTCCTCAAATTTTTTGAATTTTCAAAAGTTAATACACAGAAGATACTTGGAAATTCGAAAGAAAAGTACTACATATGTATAAAAGGGGGAAAAATTGTTTAAAGAAAAAAGTACCCCTCACAATTTGACCGCAACAGGCAAATTATAGCTATTACACCTCCTTGCTTTTGTGAAAAAAAAAAAAAAGAAATTGACTTTATTGCTGTTCGATATGTAGCAGCAGTCGGGATTTAAAAAAGAATTATCTTTTGACAAAGTCCTTGTAAATACAGCACCCATCTTATCATCCGAAGAAATTTTAACAATATCGATGTCACCTTTTCTAAAATTTTCATTTACAAAATGATAGTTATATTCAATATGTTTTTAATCTTTGGTCAAGTTTCTGAGTTTAGCAATTGCAAGAGCTCCTGAATTATCTTCATATATCTTTACTTTATTCTTGACATCTATGCTAAAAGTTTCTGGGAGATTTATTACAAACACTATTTCAGTAGTAGCCTCAGATAAAGCAATATATTCGGCATATGTTGATGATTTTGTGACAAAATTTTGCTTACGGGTTTTCCAATGGATTGAGTTACCTACCAGAAAATCGAATAACATATCCAGAAGTAGATTTGCGGTCAACAGGATCTCCTGCCCAGCTGAATCAACAAATGAGTCCAAAATTTCATCGGCATTAGATTTTATAAAGCATAGGCAATTTAAAATCTTTAGATATGAGTAAATACCTACTTTAGAATTCTAAGTGCATATTTATAATGTGTCGAATCAGCACAAGTAGTAAATGTACTGATGTAATTAACGCTGTATGTACGTTATGTCAGGACGAGTTGCGCTACTTATGTATAGAAGAGCACCGATAGGATTTCTAAAAGCTAAATTTGGGTCGAGATTTTCAGCCGCATCTACATGAAGATCACCTTTAGTGGGTATATTATAAGGTTTAGCATCTTTAATTTGAAATTTTCCGCATAGATATTCAAAATAATTCGTTTGACTTAAGGTTATCGATTTTTTTTAACATCATAATCAATATCAATACCTAGATACTTCGTTACTTTGCCAAGATCTTTCACTTTGAACCTTTTTTCAAGTTTCTTTTTTACTGAGTCGATAACACAGCCCTGCGTTTTTTTGGTCATGTCACGTTGCATGGCATGTCTTGATTGATTCTTATGTATTTTTTAGCGCTGAGTT